ATGCCCTCAGGTGAATTCCCCGAGCTCCAGAGTTTGGGAAGGCAGTTCATAGACCTAACTGACATGAACATCCAGTTTTAAGTAAATTTCTAGGGTCTTACACAGGTGACTCTACAGCTTGATTAATCACACGCAGAGGTGAAAGAGTACTTTCCTTTCTGATCAAAGTTACCACTCTTGTCCTATAACAAGAGGTCTTGTGGTTTTTAAGACCTTAAATATAGGAAACAGGAAATTGAAGTAAAGGCAAACGAAGATAAGAATTATAAAGAGTTTGGAACAAGTCCAAACTCTAAAGATCCTGAAAAGTCCCCAAACCTGGACCTTTGAAGAGTGACTTGACCAAACCTAGGGAATTTCCAACTCTAAATCTGTTTCTTTAATTAGAGCAGCTTTTGGCTTTAGACAAAGCCCTCATCTACAAACTGAAGGGTGATGTGGGATCTGAATGGACTAGAAGCTTCACGTACAGCAGCTCTGCAGGGTCTTGTCACACCCCTGCTGCCGAGGGAAAGGACACTGGAGCAGAACTCTGAGGCAGCTCCGTGAATTCAGGTTGTAGGAACAGGTCTAGTCCAGGATCTGTCCTTTCACAATAAGCAGGTGAGTCCAGGTCAGAGGCACAGGTTGCTATCCTTCACTTTAATTTGATTAAAAACCAATGCTATGAACAGAAACGTGTCCTAGTCCATTGCACACTAAACACTGCAACTTTTCTCTGGTGACATTTTCTCCTCTGGGTATCAGACACGATTTGACTTGATGTTTGATGATGGCTCGTGTGCAGATGTAACTGGGCCCTCCTCAAAGATAAGTGGACATGCTTGCCCCATCCTGACAGCAAAGGACAGTGTGGTTCCAGGAAAGAGCCATGACAGTGTTTCCCTTAAGCCAAATTAAATCAAATACTGGTGCCAGGCCTACAGTAAAATATTATTCTGTTCTACTTTTCATACTGTCTGATCTAGTCCCTCAGCAACAGGATTGCAGCTAGACAAAAGGCAGTTGTTCAAATAATTATATGCCCCATGTGAAGAGGCTAATCGTTTTAGTCTTGAAGTGTCAGTGATTCATAATCTGACTTTCGGTTTTGATTTGTATTCTCACTGAAAATGTGGAGAAGGGTCTGGCTCTGTCTGGCAGCTGACAGCACTGGGGCTGGTTGACGGTGTGGTGTCGCCCTCTGGTGGCCTCCAGAGCAGCGCAGACGTGCTTGCAGCGAGGAGCGGGAGAATGATCCAGGCCTCCACCTGGGCAGCTCTGGTGAGGAGGGACTGGACCCTCCCAGAAATGAAGGGGTCACTAGGGCTGACCTACCACAACTCCACGCAGCCCACCCGTCTCTCTGGTGCTGGCCTGCCCAACTCACCATAGCACAGTCTGTGAGTGATCAGATATACCAGATGCGGTCCCCAGGCCCAGCTTCTCAGCTGTCTCCTCTGGGTGCAGTACAGTGTGTGCCTGGCACACGTCAATAAATATTTGTTGAATGAAGGGATGAAACTGGGGATGGAGAAGATTCCTAATTAAATTCCAACTTTCCAGTTAAGTGTTTTTACTGAAACACAATGGGTCATTTTAGGTAGCCAAGAAATAGCTCTAATGGCTTTAAAAAGGTTTCATTCTATGTCTGACTTGAAGCAGCCAAACTCCTTCACCGTGTTCAAACATATGATTCACAAAAGAGAATGTTTTTAAATATCAGGAACTAAGGATATGCTTTCAAACTAAGCGCCTTACCTCAAGATAAGATTGCAGGCCTGAAGGCGAGTGCTTGGGCCCATCATGGAGGCTCATACAAGTAGCTCCTGAATGTCAGTGGATCAGAGGGTGTCACTGGCAGCCTCTGAGAAGCACTCGCATTCCTAGGGGCAAGGCTTTTTCCTTTTCCTAGTTAACTGTATAATCACATTATTCTGATCATTGTTCTAACTTGTATAAGGCTTGAGTCCATAAATCTTCCCCCTTCCTAGCACCCGCTGGAGGAATATCAGGATATCCAGACATGAGCTACCACTAATCCTGTTAGCACATTTTTATTCTTTAAGTCACAGGGGAAAGTCCTCAGGGAGAAAAACTATCTAAAAAACACTGCAGATTTCATAAACTCAAAGAAGCCCCTTCGAGGATGACCTGTGACACTGCAGAAGCTTCTCTGGGGAAACAGTAGCTTCTCTGGATTAATCAAGGCAGGTCTGCCTCCCTAGCTTGCAGCCATCAGTGTCCTCTTTGTGCTCTCACCAAATGGATTTCCATCTCGGGGACAGAGCCCCTCCCACAGTCACCACCTTCACCTGGCTCAACATGGACAAACAACGCTTATGCATGTTGACTGGACTATGACCCTACCCTGAAATAACCCAGAAACTTGGCACTGTGCTGATTGGTGGGGGGAAGGGGACTCACTAGACTCAAAGCTCCTCAAGAGCAGACCCAGCCCCTTCCTTCTGCTTCAAAACATCTTGGAGAGCTCTCAGGTTCTACCCCAGGGTGGTCAGGAAAAGCCTATTAGCTGATTTCTTCATTGAGTCTTCTGCTTTCTATGCCAAACTATACCTGAAATGCAAATGCAGCTTTGGACCATGGACTTTGGTCATCCCATTAACTTAACAGAGTGCCAATATGTACTAGGCCCTGTGCCTGCTGCTGCGGACACAGAGAAAGTCCTTGGCTTCAAGGAGTGGGGGGTGAGTAGCAACGTGGGGAATGAGAAACATGCAAGGAGCTAGGTCCTGAATCCAACAAAGCGTCATGTGCCATGAAAGACATCAGGGCACATGTGGGGCTGAGTGGTGGAGTGGGGGATGAAGGGCTCAAGGAAGGTGGGAGAAGAGACAAGGAAGGCTTCAAAGAGGTGGTGACACTTGAGATAGGCCAGAGAGATGAGAGGGTCAGCACCAGATGACCTGAGCCTCTGAGTGCATGCTGGGGTCACGAGGGCAGAGGTGACAGTCAGTCTCCATCTTCACCCTCTACTCCCCTTCTGCCAATCTGACATTAATGGAGCAAGTAATCTGGGGACCTGAATACAAAAGGAGAAATACAAAGGGACTCAGAAAGCTTAAGTGGGTGAAAGATGGAGGGCCCAAATACCCTTCAGAGGAGCCAGACAATCAGTGGGGAGCAGGAGGAAAGGTGGGTAGGGAGTCAGCACAATGGTCTGCATAGCAGTAAAGAAAACTTGAAAAAGCCGCCTACGGGTCTACTGTGTATATACACATATGCATGTGCATATATAGTCTTCCTCCAAGGTATGGCACACGAGTCAGGTAAATTATTGTGGCATCTGAGGCGCTCCGGGCTGGAGTGCTCTCTGCAGATGTGGTCACCTCATTAAAAGGAGGACACTGGAGGGAACAATAATCCTAAGAAAGGAAGTACGGCTGAGTGCTCGCCGGGACTGTGCCTGATGTGATCAGATCCATGAGGCCCTGTCATGAGAGGATGGCTCGGAGCTTGAAGAGGTCACTGGGCCCAGTAGCCACCACTCTCCAGGCACACATTTGCTGTGGCCAGAAGTACGGCTGAGTGCTCGCCGGGACTGTGCCTGATGTGATCAGATCCATGAGGCCCTGTCATGAGAGGATGGCTCAGAGCTTGAAGAGGTCACTGGGCCCAGTAGCCACCACTCTCCAGGCACACATTTGCTGTGGCCACTGCTTCACATGCTTTGCACGTTGATCCAGTCCCATCCCTGCTCTAACCCAATGTGTTTGGTGCTATCACCTTCATTTTCTAATGAGGAAACAGACACTCAGAGGGGGAGGGCCGAGGTCACCCAGCCAGGAAAGGGCAGTGCCAGATGTGAGTGCAGCATTGCCGGCTCCTGCAGACACACCCCATCTCCCCAGGCTGGGGGAAAGTCAGAGGGCACAGGCAGGCAGTACAGGGCCTTATAAACATCAAGCAGGCAAGCTGGGACACATCCTTGGAAGATCAAGCAGGGAAAGGTAGAGCATTTTGTGAGGATAAAGAAAGCATTGCCAAGAAGTGTTTTCCTGAAGATGTGCTTCACCTCTCTCAGTTGGCTGGAGCAGAAGAGAGAGGCGCTGAGGGGTCACTCCAACATCTGGGAGACAAACCTCCTACCTGGCTGCAGACAGCCATCAAGGGAGGGCCCCGCAGCCATCGTGAACTGCAAGCTGCCTGCCCTACCCTGCCCACCTCCCCACTTTCCTGACAGTCTACACAGAGGCATCTGCCGGGCTCCCTTTCAGATGCTCAAGGGTCCTAAGCCCTTGGGCATTCCCCACCCAGTTCAAGAGCTGTGTCTGAATTAAAAACTGAGGCACAAAGACCAGGGCAGGTGAAACATACTATCGAAAACCTGTCAGTGGCTGCTTATGCAAGGGTGTCTCTGCAATGGAGTCAGTGATTCCTGACAATGTCAGGCTGAAGGAAAGAGGAAGGTGGGACTGAGACCCGTTCTTGCCAGAAAGCACAGCCCTTGCTGAAAGTTGCTCAGACAAGATTCTAGAATGTGCATGAGGGGTGTGAAGAAGCCCCCGGGAATGGCAGAGCTGAGGCCATATGCTCATGGTACCTGCCGGGTAGGAAGGGCAGCTTTGGCACAGGTGCTCAGGCACACGCCGACGACATGGTTCTGCTGACAGCCACTTAGATGTGCACGGCCCCGCACTGCCCACAGCCTCACAATTGGTCTGTGGGTAGGCTGGGGAGGGAGCATTATTCCACTTCATACGTGAGGTAGCTGGGGCCAAATTTACCTGGTTTGTAAGCAGCACAGCTAGAACTTGAACCCAGATCTGCCAACTTGAAGCTCAGGGCCTCATCTACTAACCAGCAGCCATCCCAGAACATGTGTCCATTTGAGCTTTCAAATGCTGACTGATAGGCTGGACAGAGAAGACTTGTGTTCCGGAAAAACTCCAGTTGTCTTGGGAGCCCATTTTTGTATCTAAGAGGGCTGCACGTGGGCACTGACCAGTAAATGATGCATTCTGACGCCAAGGAGCCTTGTGCCCCCGGGAGGCACTTACCCCTTCCATGGGCGCTATGAGCAGGTCATACAGGGCACGGAGCGGGGGTTTGGCAAACGAGCTCTGCCTCCTGGGAAGAGAGGAGGTCCCATCCTTGATCGGTGACATTGTGTTACTGAATAAGCTTGTCATGCTTTGGCAGCTCCTGGGGAGAGAAGGGCCGCAGGATTAATCGGGGCCCACATGGGCAACCAGGGACTCACCCACCTGCCTCTCCCAGCCATGCTCCCCCTATGGGAAAAGCAGGTCAAGATTCCTCAGTAGTACCCCCACCAACCTCCCTCCTGGCTTCATCCCTCTTCTCTTTCTTTTCAGGTAATTTTCACACAACAGTGAGCACTGTCAGAAATTGCAGGGCAAACCAGCTGCACAATAGCTTGCATTTCTATGGAGTTTTTCTACATAATCAAATGTCCCAAAGTGCTGTTCAAAGGACTTAATTACATCCTGTGTGGAGTGACTGTGTGCAGGCAAATGTGAGAACCATTAGGAATCAGTGATAGCCACCAAGCTATGAGGAGGACAGTGTCCCAATGCCAATTAATTTACTACACAGGAGCCATGGACAAGACAAAGAGCATGTTGGCCCCCACCTTCGACTCAGATCAGCCACTGGGCAACCAGCTGAGCCCCTGCACAGGCTCTGTGGCAAGGCACTAAAGGCGCTGGCCCACAAGCCTCACCAGGCACTACCTGCAGAGTGGGTCAGTTCAAGTGTGGCCACATGGTTTTGTTTTGCTTTTCAATTTCTGATGCAACATTTCAAGGCACAGTTTTATTAATATAGACGTATTAATAAAGGACCCCAAGTTTCACACTCCCAACATAGGATGAGAACATTCATTGATTCATTCATTCACTCATTCATTCATTTAGAAAATGTTTCCTGAGCACCAGTTGTTTGCCAGGCACTGTCATAGTCTCTGGGGATCTACAGAGGACAAAATGCACAGGTGAGCAAGAGGGGAGGTAGCAGGCAGGGAAAACAAACCTGTTTCCAATGCAGGGACAAGGCTGCCTACTCATGACCTCTCAGAACCTGCCCCTTGGCCTGGCCAGTGTGGCCTTAGCAGCCATCTGGTAGTATTCTCTGCATGCCTACTGAAAAATCAGGGACCTCTTAACCTTGATGTAGACACCAGGCATAGTTTTGGACTTTCTGCTACATATTCTAGGACCGGTAAGGGCAGAGACCATGTTTTATGCCAGAGATACTGCTGAGTTTCAGTAAGTACTCTGGGCTGTTGGTTGTGACAGCATCTTGATGGCTGCCTAAGAAAAAACAGAGGGCTGCTTTCCCTCCCGGGCCAGGACAGGACCTGTGACATCAAAAGAAATGATATGAAAGATCCATTTGTGTTTTCCAGGTATGGCTTCCACCCACTAGCCTTCTCCCACCCTTCTAAGTGATCTGTGCAATGTACCACTTGACCTAAATTCTAGGGTCGTGCCAAGCCAAGTGCCAAGCACCCTCGGCCCCCCAGCCTACTGCCTGCAAGAGCAGATCAGAGCAGCAGGATTTCGGGGGCCCGGAAAGCCCACTCATGTCTGCTCCTTGGTCTTGCTCACTAAGGAAATGTGTAATTACAAGTGACTGGGGCCATGGCGTGTCTTTGCCATCAGAGTCAGTGAAGCACAGATAACCCTGGAGTGACACTCAGAGGCTCACTTAATTCCACAGAATACACTGCAAAGAGCAATTCTCCCCTGAAGGAGAGATTACCAAATTGCTCTCCAGAGGAGACGCTCTGGCATGACACGCAGTGTCTGTCATAGCACTGTTTGTTACTACACACATGCACTCTCAGCAGACAAGGAGCACAGCCCTAAAGAGCCTGCGCTGCCATCCAGACAGCATACAGCAGCAGTGGCAGGAGCACCCAGCACCCTTTCCCCATGCACGTCGTGATTCACACCCTAAATGGTGACTACCTGAACTGTGGGCTCCAGTACCCCCATTTGAGGCACCTGAGTCTAATTAATCCAGCTGGGGGCATCCAGTGGGAGTGACACGTTCCCAGATGATGCTGTGACCATAGGTCCTCATGGTGACTGATGGAGATGCTCCACAAACCCCAAGTCCTTTGGTTCTAAACTAAACAATTCCTACTAAAGAAAAGACCCCAAACCCCCCTCTGGGGAATAAGAGACCAAGACAGGGTCTCTTTCCAGCTGGCCCAAAGCATGGCTACATACGCCAAAATATCAGAACCAAACAGCCAGCCCACCTCACCCCTCCCTGATGAGCACAGGATGTCAGGCTGGGTGGGCCCTGGAGGCCTTGGCAGGGCACCCCTGCTGACAATGCCAGCCACTGAAATGTGGTTTCTGGAAACAGCAGAAGGAAGTGCCATGGAAGGACTGGAGTCTGACTCCAGACACCGATTCAAAAGAGGAAAATGTCTGGAAGGAGGAGGTGAAAAAGGTACATGGTGGACAGACCTGCTAAGCTCAAATCCCAACCTTGGGTAAGTCACTCACCCTCTGCGCCTGCTTTCTGCATCTGCAAAAAGGTGCAATGTTGTCTACAGGCAGGCAGTGTAAGGGTTGGAGAGGATGGCTGCAAAGCCTGCAGTCCAGGAGAGGCTTGGGAGTCTGAGCTGATGAGACAGGCCTGGGGCAGGCAGGTGGAGACCAGGCTGGGGGTGCAGAGCACAGCACTGGCAGTGCTGTCTTTATCGAAGGCCATGAAGTGCCAGAGGCATCTAAAGGGGCCAGTGGTACTAACCCATCCCATGCCCATCACTGCCCATGATGTGTCAGTACCGGGGGTCCACAGAGGGGCCAGGCAGTGGGGAAAGGGAACGGCTCCAATAGAGGTGGAGGGGCACCAAGGCACATGTCCCTGGTCTAGCTGCTGATCAGTTGAGCTGAGGGAAGGCTTTCTGGGAGAGCACCATTTGATCCCAGCCACAAGGGCTGATCTGGAGTTGCTGCCTGGTGGACAAGGTGAAGGAACATAGGGAGAGGCACACTGTTGGGAAATGGAGACCAGGATGCTTGGGTAGTGAGTGTGAGGGGCCTGTGCACAGGTCAGGGACGCAGGCTGGAGAAGTCAGTGGGCCAAGGGGGCCTGGATTCAGGCTCTGGGCTTATCCTATGGGGAGAGGCAGGCCCACCTCCCTGTTTAAACAACTAGGCTTGCTTGATAGGGAAGCTTCTCTCCCTAGGTTACCAGTTCCTGCATAGGGGATGAACAGAGGGAGGCTACTTTTATCTACATCACTCCCTGAGAACTCTCCCCCTTGGCACCATAAGGGAAGCATGCCAAGGTCAGACCATATGCCACCCTTGCCCCAGGCCAACTTCAGTTGGGAACAGTCAGATATCTTTGTGGCAAACACTCAACCGTTCAAAGCAGCTGTTTGATCTGCAGAAGTTTTCTGAGAAACCCTCTCTGGGCATCTGGGTATGTTTCCAAGAGATGCAGATTATTCAAGAACCAGACCCTGGTGGGTGGGCAGGGCACCCAAGCTGCCAGAGGAGATCTGAGCTCAACTGGGTCTTCCTGCCTGGCACCTGACCTTTCTCTAAGCTCTCTCCCAATCTATCAAACCTACCTGTGACCTCTCGACACTTGCTGACCTCTGTCCCCTAGATGCCATACCGAATGCTGGCTCGCAGCCTCTCACCCTCGCCCCTCTTGTGGACTGGCAGCTCATAGACCAACCATCTCTAGAGTAACAGTCATTGGGAACTGATGCCAGCTGGCTTAGGTGGGGTGGGCACACCTGGATCTGGCCACATGGTGTCTTGCCTGGTCAAGCAGGAATCCCCCTGAGGACACCCCTCTAATCTGTGTTGCTGTTTAGTGGAGGGCACCTATTCCTAGAAGTATCCTCTTCAAAGTAAAAACAAAAGCCCAGAAATGGTCAGTTGGTGGTTAAAAACCAGAAAACAACAAACCAACCCACCTGAAACCATAATTTGAGGTCCAAATAAATGCATTGAAGACTCCCTCCACCCCCAGCAGGAGGCATTTGCTGTGCACCCCGTCCCCAGGCGGCACATCCCCACTGCCGCTACCACCATGGCTCTGCCCTCCTGCTCACTCCCTTCTTTAGCAGGTGGCAGCTGCCTCTGGTTTCTCCACACTGGGGGACCCAGCACCTCGCTCTGCTGCCACAGCAGCAGCCTGTAGCCTGTCCCCACTGGACAGCTATCCCATGAGTGACAGGCCCAGGGGCAGAGTATGGGGGGAGGTAGCAGGGAGGAAACTGAGGCCAAGAGCAAGTGACGGTCCCTTGGATCCTGGGAGCCCTCTAGAGCGCAGGCATGGGGAGGGTTTGGGGCTGGGTCTCAGAGGCCAGGACATAGCCAGGACAAGGCCCCTCTGTGACCACACTGGTAGGCCCCAAGATTTCTTCAGCCCTGCCATCATTGGGGCCACAGGCAAACTCCCTTTCCCACATAGCTTCAGTTCTTACTGCAACATTGACAGTTACCTAGTGCAGCTATTTTACTGGGGCACATGTGCCTAGAGATCTGCATGAAGATATATTCATAATAATTCAAAACAGCAAAGCAGTCAGCTCCTTAGCCCTGGGCCTGAATGTTTACAGATGAAGTGAGTGGACCACCAGGCTGCCTCAACACGTCACCAACTGCTATGTGACTCTGCCAAGGCATATCACTTTCCTATTCTCTTTTTTTCCTTGCTTATAAAATGAAGGGTTGGGCTAAAGTTCTTGTAGGTCTCTTCTAGTTTAAAGAAATGAAAAATCTATTCAGTCCAGGGAAGCCCTCAACCCCCCTGCTGAGTGTCTGCAGTGCCATGGCCTGGAGCACTGCAGCCCTTCCTGTGTCCACCCCATGTGGGTGTCAGACATAGGCAGTCAGGGTGCAGGCACAGCTTTCAAGTGCTATAATGTGTCCAGGAGAGTTGGCACGGCGGATACATGCTCCTGTGGTGAAGTTCAGTTTAGGGCCTCAGAGTCACAGCTAGATGGCAGAGGGTCCCCTGAGCTCTGAGTGCCCAGCCAGCAGACTGCTCACAGCAGCTGACAGGTGTGAACTAGGGCACGCCGTCCTCCTTCCTGCACTGTCACAATGACCTGGTGCTTCCATGGCTCTGTGTAAGAATGACAAGGGAGCAGAGCAGGGGATACTCAACAGCAGCACCTCGGGTACTGGACTGCTTTGATT